TGTGTCTGTTCTGTGACCTCCTTCTGAAACCCAAGCTGGAGAGCAGCAGATACGAGGCCAAGTTCTTTGTGTGTGTGTGTGTGTGTGTGTGCTTATAATTCTATTTTTGCTTTTTTGTGTTTTTATTTTTATTAATTACAGTTTATTCACTTTGTATCCCCCCTGTAGCTCCCTCCCACCTACCCTCCCAATCCTACCCTCTCTCCCCCTTCTCCACCCATGCCCCTCCCTTAGTCCACTGATAGGGGAGGTCTTCCTCTCCTTTCTTCTGATTTTAGTCTATCAGGTCTCATCAGGAGTGGCTGCATTGTCTTCCTCTGTGGCCTGGTAAGGCTGCTCCCCCTTCAGGGGGAGGTGATCAAAGAGCAGGCCAATCAGTTCATGTTAGAGACAGTCCCTGTTCCCATTACTATGGAACCCACTTGGACACTGAACTGCCATGGGCTACATCTGTGCAGGGGTTCTAGTTTATCTCCATGAAAGGTCCTTGGTTGGAGTATCAGGGCAAGTTCTTTACATGATAACATCATCAGATACCACAGTAAGGCTACCTTGACCAAGGCCAAAGCAAAGAGTCAGAGAAGTGTGCCACCATGGGGGCCACAGCAAGAACAAGGATGGAGAGCAAGGTTAGGAAGAGGTGAAGAAGGAAGTCCACCAATTTAACTCACTACAAAACCAGAATCTTCACGAACATATAGTTATTCTAATTACCTAATTATTCACTGGAAATCTAGGTCATGTTTAGCATATTCTTCTTCTAGAAGGCTATGTGAGGGGGCATAAGGTAAGCACATGTAATAAAGATTAGATTACCAAGGGGCAAAGGAAGGAGGCATCACCAGAAAAGCCTGCCCATCCTTCCATATTTATTCTGGTCCAGTATTAAGGATGGCTCACTGAGCCAGAACAGACAGCATCAAAGGAATGAGGGCTTCCCTAGTTACCTAGGCAGGTTACTCCCAAAATGTGATGTATAAATTCTCTAGAGTTCGACTTCCTCTTGAAAGGTGCCCTGAGCCCTGAGACTGCACCAAGAACTTTACAATGCAGAGAAGAGGGGCACGTTAAACTGGACTTACAACGATGACTTGTATTCTGTAGGTGAAGGGGGCATCCTAAAAAGTACATGGACTAAGCTACTACTTGGTGGCTCAGAACAGCTCACTGGCCATTCTAGAGTTGTGAGTAATGGGGTTGGAGGCTGACAGGTTGGGATGCTGCTGGTGGGAATATGAGCTGGGTTTGCTTGTAGGTTTGGGGTGGTGGTGAGATAGGCTCTCTCAGCTAGGGTGGGGCTTGTTTTCCTCCTGAGATGCCAGATTGAGGAAACAGGTTCCCACAGCTTTAACAGAAACCAAAGGCACTGACACTTAGAACCAGGGCCAACGCAAGCCCATCATGGAACCCTTCTGTTGTGAGGCCTCTGCAAGGACATACAGAAAATTCCATGGCTACAGGAAAGGGAGAGAAACTGGGGCCGTTAATACTTGGTATCAGCGAAGCAGGGTTTTGTAGAAAACTGTGAGTTCTGACTGCATGCTTGGGAAATTCTGTCCTGGACTCTTGGGGGCTGAGACGTCACCTCAGGGGAGCTGTGCATCATTGATGACAGCCCAGAATTCACATCTGCTTCTTCTGATGCAGGGTATCCTTTCTGTGAGTGTAGGAAAGCCACCCTGGTTTTAGAGTCTTTGCTGCCAGGTCTCTCTGATCCCGGCTCTGTAGCTCTTGGTTTCACAGCTTTGAATCCTGCTCACCTCCCAGGAATTCTGGATTCTCAGTCCTCAAGGCAGGCAGCTGTGAACATAGGTTTAAGTTAGGGCAACATTAAGACTCCCCAGATGAGATGCTGCAGTACATGAACACAGTACAGGAGCTCCACCAGAAGTCAACTGTTCAACTCCTTTAGTTTTGAAGGCACTTTCTGGGAGCTCTAGGCTAACAAGCTCATCTTCCACCACGGAGTCTCAGCAGTAAATCTCTAACTTTTGATGCTGTTGTCCAGAGAACAGATTGAATGCCAGTAACAATGTGCTGCTGGACGCAAGGACTCTTGAGTTGAATTCCTTCCTTAACTGTTATTTTATACAAAGTGCTAGTGATCACTAGAAAGAAGAAGAAGAAGAAGAAGGAGGAGGAGGAGGAGGAGGAGGAGGAGGAAGAAGAAGAGGAGGAGGAGGAAGAGGAGGAGGAGGAGGAGAAGGAGAAGGAGAAGAAGAAGGAGAAGAAGAAAGAAAACATTGGTCTTGGCATGTGAGAAAATCAGCTTTGATTTAGAAAGGAATTGTGAAATGATCAGAAGGTAAGAAAACTTGTCAAGGTCAACAATATTTTTTTGTTATTTGTTTGTTTTGTTTTTCTGGTAGGAAAGAAGAGCCATTGAAGGCAGTCAGCAAGAGGAAGACACTGCAGACTCTCTCTTCTTCCTTTTCAGAAACAAACCACAGACTGTCATCTTCAGGCTACCCTGGGGTGAAGAGTAATTGAACCCATTTGACAGATGGGGCCTAAAGCAATGAGGCCACAGTTCAAAGGCACAGAACCATCATTGTCTTAGTTTGCATTTCTGTTGCTCTGATAAACACCTCGACTAAGTGCAACTAGGGAGGAAAGAGTGTATTTCATCTTACAGCTTACAGTCCTTCACGGAGGGAAGCGGGAGTAGGAACTCAAGGCAGGAACTGAAGCAAAAGCCACAGAGCTTCCTGGCTTGCTCCCCATGGCTTGCTCAGCATGCTTTGTTATTCAACCCACAACCACCAGCCCAGGGGTAGCACTGCCCAACAGTGGGCTGGACCTTCCCACATCAATTATAAATGAAGAAAATGTGCAGGCTTGCCCACAGGCCATTCTGCTGGAGATATCTCAACTGAAGCTCCCTCGTCCCTAAATGACCCCGGCTTATGTCCAGTAAAGGTACAGGCAGCAGAGACTAGGTGTGAAGCCAGTCCTTCCCCTGAGCAACCTGCAGGAACTTGGCTTTCTAGCAGCTGGACAGAGGGTTATGAAAGCCACTGGCATTTAGTTGGGTAACCCAAGGCCCGGGAAAGAGCAGATCAGAAGAAGCACGTAGGACTGTGGAAGCAGGTGGGGATGGGGTGAGTGGGAACTGAGAGGGCGAGGAGGCACACAAAACCATCCAGAGCTCAGTCAGCCTGGGGATGGATGAGCCTGAGAACCAGCCAAGCAGGGCTGCAGATCAGCAGCTGGTCCTCAGAAGGTAGCCCCGCACTGCACTTACTCTTCCAAGAAATGTTGTGAACCAGGAAGAAGGGCATCTGGTTTGCGTCTAGGGGACACAGGGTGGGGTATTCAGGAGCCTTAGGACGAGAGGGACCCAGGATGACACGGGGAGTCTGCTCCAGGGGTGTGCAAGAGGCATGGACCTGCCCATAGCCACAGGCCCTGTGGTAATAGCCTCTCCCTCCTCCTGTCAGTCAGTCAGCTTTTCAGCGCTGTGACAGAAAGCTCAGAGAACCAGCTTACAGTTGAATCGGGCGCTGGTTTCTAGAGGCCCCTGCGCTTTGGACTCCAGCTGAAGTGTGTCATAGGAGCAGTGAAGGCTCACCTTTGATTGGCAGGAGAGGCGCATCTGAGCTTGGCAGGCTCCTACATTTCCTGCAAACACGTGCCCCCCAGTAACCCAAAGACCCTCCCTGCAGGCCCCACCACCTCCTAAAGGTTCCACTGTGAGGGACACCACAGGCATGGGCCCGCTGTCAACTCACAAGTGTCATCCAAACCAGAGCAATTCCATTCCTAAACACACACACACACACACACACACACACACACACACACACACACACACACACACACACTTCAGCTTGGTTCTGGGGATGAAATGCAGGGCTTGGCACATGCTAAGCAAGTACTGTTTTACTGAGTTATATGGCTGCCCTTTTTGCTGCAAATATTTGCTAAAGTACATGTTGTGTGGCACGTGAAGCCAAATTCTCTGTCATCATCCCAGGCTATTGCACGCTGTCTCTACAACCAGCTGGAGGGACACACTGAACAAGATGTACACACGTGTCTGCATAGTGCAGACTGACACTGGTTAATGCTCACTGACAATTTCTACCGTAGGAGAACTTCCGTTACCCCTTCACCCTAACAAAGCCAACCTAACCAGGCAATGTCGGAAGCACCTTTTTGCAGGTCAGTAAACGGAGAGACAGAGGTATCAGGACGCTGGCCGAAGGTCGCACAGCTCCGATGGGTGAAGCGTGACGTTCAGCTTAGGTTTGCCTGCTCCTGTCTCCAGAGATCCGTACTCAGTGCCACACTGTGGTGATTCACCTGTGCGTAGAGTGGGGACCACGACGGGAATGAGGGTAGAGGGTAGAGGGCGCGCAGGGGACCCATGGTGGGGCCAGTTGAGCCCCAGCTCTATCAGCCCCCCCCCCCCCCCCCCGGGAGCTTCAAAAGCACTTTCTGTCCCATGCCCTACCCCCAACCCTACCCCCACCAGGTCCCTGCAACTGAACCGGACCCACATAGCTGTTCGCTCTTCCAAAGTTAGAGCTGCCCGTCTGTAGAGATGAGAAAACTGAGGCCCAAGCTTTGAAAGGCCACCGAGAGGGGCAGAACTTCAGGCGTCGCACACGCAGCCCGCTTGGGCCCGGCTAGGGGACTCTCGGTTGGTGTCTGCCCTCGGAAGCCAGCGAGCAAGGCACTGGGGCAAACCCCGAGCTCCGAGAAAAGCAGACGCTTGCAAGCTCGGGGCCCGAGTGTGTGCCAAGCGCCGGGAGAGCAAGGTCAAGGTGCTGAGCGAGGTGCTGGGCGCACAAGGTTAGGGCGCTGGACTCTCTCGCCCCTCCAGCCCCCGAGCTTCAGGCGGGCCCGGGAGGTGGCTTGGGCACCGTTTCCCCTGTCCCATGCTGCCGGGCCGGGCCGGGTAGCTCCCTCGGCTCCACCCCCGGCTCCCCCGCCCGCCGCTCCAGCCTCTCAAAAGCCCGGGCGCCCGGGGCGGCGGCGCAGAGCCGGGGCCGGCGCACGAGGCGGCAGGGCGGCCATGACTGCGGAGCAGGCGCTGCCCCTGGGCAACGGGAAGGCGGCCGAGGAGGCGCGGGGGTCCGAGGCGCTGGGCGGCGGCGGCGGCGGCGGCGGCGGGGGCGCGGCGGGGACGCGCGAGGCGCGCGACAAGGCGGTCCACGAGCGCGGTCACTGGAACAACAAGGTGGAGTTCGTGCTGAGCGTGGCGGGCGAGATCATCGGGCTGGGCAACGTGTGGCGCTTTCCCTACCTGTGCTACAAGAACGGTGGAGGTGAGCGCGGCGGGCACGCGGGGCGGCGCCTGGGGTGGGGTGGGGTGAGGGGGACCCCCCTCCCTCGTGAACGGCCCCGATCCCCCCCTCCCCATCCCAGGGAGCTGAGGGACCGCGCGGAGGGGGGGGACCCCCACCTGTTCCTCTGCGCCCGCGTGCGCGGGGGGGGGGGGCTGCACCCGCTTCGCACCTGAGCGCGCCACCACCTGCCACCACCTGCCACGGGGCCCAGAGCTGTGCGGCTGTCACCTGCCTGAGGGGACAGACCTGGCCCAGGAGCTCTGCTTTCGGGCAACTCTCGCTGGCATTTTTAGGCAGAAGCCTTTATTTATGGTCGGAGGCTCACAGCTGTCCTCACCGGAAAAGACAGCTCTGAGCCGTTTTCTGGAGAGGTCACTCAAGTACCAGGAGCGGGGTTGCCCGGTGGTTAGTCGGCTGTGTCTTGGTATTATTATTATTATTTTCTCACAGTCGCCTTAGAAGGCAGTGCTTTTTACAAATCTCAAGGATGATGAGGCCAAGAGTCCAAGAAGCTCTGTTTTACTACTGCTGAGGGTGGGCGTTGGACTCCAAGGGCCTTTTATGTATGTGCAGGGTTGAGCTAACACACACACAGGGAGGGGGTGGAGAACTTTCCGACAGGCTTTGCGGAGTGCTCTCTGCTGTAGTCTCTTACATTTGCTCTTTAGGTCCTTTCTAGGGAAAGTATTTTAGGCCTCTCTGGAGGAAAAACTGGCACCAAGCAGTTTCTTTTACTGGGCTCAGACTCACCCACAACAATCGCAACCACGCAGATGTGTTGTGTGTGTGAGATACTTAGATATTGGGAAGAAGATCAGAGACCCTTCCGGCAACAGCATCTCAGAGTGCCTTTGGGAAGAATGGAAGCTGTGGTCCCCAACTCTCGAAGCTCAGAGCAGGACCCAGATAACTCCCCAACACACACGCGCACGCACGCGCATGCACGCACGCACGCACGCACACACTCACTCCCAGGCCGCTCATACCACAGTAGGATGGCAGAGTAGCAAGGGAGCCATTAAAACTTGTGGTGGCACAGTTCCTCTCAGAAAAGGCCTGTCTTAACATTTCCCCTCCTCTCTCTGGTACGACTGATCTTCAAGAAAATCTTTGAACCCTAAAGAAGTGGCCGAAAAGTTAGCTGGCACATCAGCTCAGGGATTCCCGAGCAAAAAGCGGAGGGGCCTGCGAACCACACTGCTTGGCTCAGGATCTTTCTTTGGGAACATTTATCCTGAAGGCACAGGCTGCTCCAGGCCTGCCCTGAACTGGTAATGAAGAGGCTTGGCAAGGGGAGACAGACGGCCGGGACTCGGAGACCCAAAATGTGGCCTGCACTTTCAGGCAGGCTCCTGCTTCACCATGCAGGCTGAGCCCGGGTAGCCACCATGCACCTTTAGGAAGCTGTAGGAACCCTTGAGGATAGTTTAGGGCAGAAACTATTTTAACCTCTTTATTCAACTAGGAAGTGTTAGGTCCAAACAAGAAGCGTTCTGCAAAGTAGAAAATGGAGACTAATTCGGTTAATCACAAATTCTGCTACAAATGGTTTTTAAGGTTGTAGTGAGTAAAGTTGAAGCATGACTCATTGTTGGTTTTGCTCTCTCTCTTCTCCTCTCTCTGACTTGCCAAAAGCCTCCGTCCGTGCAGACACTCCAGTGTGGTTGTGTTAGTTATTTTAAGAATTACAGTACGAGCCTCTTGAGTACCCAGGCCAGCTGGCTCTCACCCAGTGTCATCTGCCGGGTTCTTGAAGGCTCACAGGTGAATTACAGGCTCTTAAGGCAACTTCTTCAGCTTTTTAATCAAACAGATTTGGATCCAGGCCTCCGATGTCAATTGACCCCCTCACACAGGTTTCTGCCTTTAATCTAGCCAGGCTGTGGTTTCTTTTAAAAATAATGTGTCCACAGGCTGGACTAGCAAATCCCCACAGTAGCTGAAAGTATCTCATTCACAGGGTAAAATATTAAATTAGTCCCTTACCCAGAAAAGGCTAAGACCCTTCAAAGCCTAGTAGATAGGTCCACACTATCAGGATTAATCGAGGTTGTCACTATTAATCCGGTGGTTAAAGAGGCTTCATTTAGCAAAAGCAATTTCAGGTAAAGCCTCCATCCGTGACATCAGATGAAGAATACTGTGTTTTCATGCTCTGTTATTAGACAGGAGAAAGAAAAAGAGGGATTTGGGGGGGGTCCCCATCTGTGCCTAGGAGCCCGTGCTCACTTCATTCATTGTATTTATTTTGCAGAACGGGCCTGGGCCGTGGATATTATGTTTAGGGTGGTCCTTGCCCAGGCTGACCCTAAACCAGCCTTGCAGGGGAATCCTTGCTACAAATTTCTTAGAGCTCAGCAGCTCTATCCCTGGATCATGTGTGCAGGGATGTTTAACCCTTTGAAGTCTGTTGCTTCTCATTGTATGATTCCCTGATAAGTTTTTTTTTTTCCCTTTATGAGAAAAAAATCTCTCAAGGAGATTCTATAAGAAAATAATAAGGAGTGGTCTCCTTCACTCACCCTTTTGAAATTAGAGATAAGAAGGGAATAGGGCACTGTGGCACACACCTGTAATCCCAGCACTCAGAGAGGCAGAGGCAGGTGGATCTCTGTGAGTTCAAGGCCAGTGTAAAAAGTGAGTCCAGGACAGCCAAGGCTACACAGAGAAACCCTGTTTCAAAAAAAAAAAAAAGAAAGAAAGAAAGAAAAAGAAAAAGAAAAATAACACATAGGATGGGAATGAACTTAACCTGTGCTGGAGAGATGGCTCACTGGTAAAGGGCTTTCTCTTTGGTCAAGAAGACTGAGTTTGAATCCTCAGCACCCACTTTAAAAGCCAGGTGTGGTAGTTCACACCTGCCATTCTAGCACTGAGGAAGTAGAGGTGAGGCAAGAAGATGCCTGGAGCTCCCTGAGCAGCCAGCCGAGTTGAACCAGTGATCCTTAGGTTCGGCGAGAGACCCTGTGTCAAAATTGGGGTTAGCATTATAGAGGAAGACACTTGACATTGTCCTCTGGCCTCTATCTACATGTGTATACGAACGTGTGTGCACATATTCACAGGAAGTAAATCACCCACACAGAAAGAGAATCAATCAACAACAACAAAAATTTTTTTCGAACCTTCCCATTTCAGTCCTGCAGCCATCCTGGAAAATGGTCAGTGGCAGGTATTAATCAGTAAAGCCCATTTGACACTTGGAGAAGTTGAGGTTCAGAAAGGTGAGGGATAGTTGTTTAAAGGTAAAAGGTGGCCGAGGACAAAACCAAACCCGCTTCCGGGTTTTCTGGCTCTGGCCCTCCTGGCCGCACTGGAATTTCAGCTGGAAGAGAACCTCGGGCCGCCCTGTGGCAGCTGCTCACTGAAGACCCTGGAGGAGAAATGGCGGGGCAGTTCCCATCTCACCCCTCTGCACCCTCACAGGGGCGTTTCTGATTCCCTACGTGGTGTTCTTCATCTGCTGCGGGATTCCTGTCTTCTTCCTGGAGACGGCCCTGGGGCAGTTCACGAGCGAAGGCGGCATCACGTGCTGGAGGAGGGTCTGCCCTTTATTTGAAGGTAAGTGCTGCGTTCATGAGCAAAGAAAAGGTTGCCTCATTGGTGCCAAGTTGCCAGGAGCCACCGAAGGCTGTTTGCAGGGACGGAGACTCCAGCTGCTGTTTTTCGTTGGTCCTCACAGGCATTGGCTACGCAACACAGGTGATCGAGGCGCACCTCAATGTCTACTACATCATCATCCTGGCATGGGCCATCTTCTACCTAAGCAATTGCTTCACCACCGAGCTCCCCTGGGCCACCTGTGGGCACGAGTGGAACACAGGTACGGTGTCCGGGCTGGGTCTCTCCTGGTCCTGTGGACAGATCTGGGGTTGGTGGTGCACCCTGAGCTGCTAGGCTCCTGTCACAGTTCAGTTTCCTGGGAGTGGCCTCTGGAACGGCTAGCCAGGGCATATCCAGCAGTTCCAGGTGAGGCCGAGCCCTGAGGACAGAGTTAGGGTGTGACCAAGCTCTAGACTGCAGCTTGAGGATCAGGAGTCCTTCTCTAGCCCTGCCCTTCTGAGTGGTTCATCTTCTTCCATAAGATGAAGGAGTTAAGATGAGTGCGTTTATGGCAGTGACCACGAACTAGAAAATGCCTTTGGTTGCCAGAATTTGAAAGAAGTCAGAAGACATTTTGAGGAAACCCTGATTTCCAGCTTCACTCTTTTAAAATATGCATTTATTCTTATTTCATGTGTGTGAGTGTTTGTCTGCTTGTATGTATATGACTATATTCATGCAGTGCCTATGGAGGCCAGAAGAGGGTGTCAGATCCACTGGGACTGGAGTTACATATGGTTGTGAGCCACCATGCGGGTGCTGTGAATCGAACTCAGGTCCTCTGGAATAGCAGCCAGTGCAAACTTCACCCCCCCCTCAACTTCTATTTAAAAATTAAATCTCTAGCAACCTCCCTACTTGACAACAGCAGCCACAACCATGACTGGGAAGCAGCTAATGGCTATGGATGACACAGTTGCCATACCACACTCAGCTTGCTTTACTTGTTCAAACCAGCTAAACATCTGAAGGCAGCAATACCCCCCCATGGGGAATCTTATAGGCCACCTTCAATGTAGATACATGGTTTTCTTTTAATCTGTCATCCTAGCAAGACTTCTTTGGCAATCGAGAGGAGGAGAGTACCTGTCCAATCATTTCTGAGATTGCTGTGCTCACAGCAGGCATCCCCCATGGATTATAGCACTCTTTTTTTTCTGAGCTAAGCTCTGGCCTCAGGTGCTGCCTTTAGGCTGGAATTGGGACACATGCTTTGACCTATCTATCTGTGCTAGTGTCTATGGTTAGATTATGTCTGGGCGAGAGACCTATCACACTGAGAGCTGAGATACAGCAAGCTTATGCACTGTTATGGTCACCAACAGGAGAAGCAGCAGGGGTTAGGTCTAGAAGGCTCTGCAGTCTAGTTTCCAGGCCTCTAGGGTGTTTAATGTCCCGAATCTCCACCCCAGCCCCTGCCATGGAACACCTAAAGAGATTCTTTCTGTTGCTTGAATCTGTGTTTATAACTCCTCAAGGTTTAATTTTTAAATCATGTGTCCACAAGACATACGTGGCTCAGTAGCTCAACAATTGCCTAGCATGCACAAGGCCCTAGGTTCCATCCCTAGCATTGAAAAAGAAAAAGAAGGAAGGGAGACAGGGAGAAAGGAAGGAAGGATATGTGGGTAGGAGTTGAGGCTGAGGAAAGCTGTGAGGTAGGAGGTCTTACAGGAGGGTGAGCTGGGGCAATATGGAGGAGTACCCAGGCTAGTTCCCCACACCCTGCCGCTTTGTTGACAGGTTTGCTTTTCTGCTGGGAAAGCAGTTTATTATCCCCAAATGTAATTATTCTGTGCAGCCTGGGAAGTATGGTAGGTATTGCTTTGCATTGGGCCAGCTCCCAAGTTTGGTTGGCATTTCATTTGTAAGTTAATTAATTCATCTTTGTGGTAGAGTCTCATGTAGCGCAGGACGTAGCCTCCACTGCCCAGGTTCTGGGAGTACAAGTGTGCACAGGGCAGCTTTAACTTGTGTTATACTTGATCTTAGCTCAAGATCTTAGGCGGAGAAGCCATTGACTTATTCCAATTTTAATTTGCTTATCTAGCTGTGAGAATAGTCACATTGGTTTATAACCATTTTTTTATTTGTATTTAATCAATTTAAATGCAAAAGACACATCAGTTTTGAATGTCTGATGAAGTGTGTGTGTGTGTGTGTGTGCACATGTGCCTGTCTGTCTGTCTGTCTGCTTTGTTTTATTCTGCTAGGGCTTAGTTTTGTTTTTTTTTTGTATTGAGACAGGGCCTCACTCTGTGGCCCAGACTGCCCTCAAACTCAAGCAATCCTTCAGCATCAGCCTCTCAAGTGCTGGGACTTCAGGTGTGACCAGCACACCCAGAAGACTTTCCTTTTACTCTCAGGAGAAATATTAGGCAGCCCCATTTTAGAGTCTGATAAAAGCCAAGGGTGATGTCATTGCAGAAACAGGCCGGGGCATATTGAGTCCATTTGCTGACAATGCTGGGTTCTAGACTCCACTGTAGACTCCCGTGGGTACCCAGACCCACCTGCTCTAAGAATGCACTAACGCTAGCCAAAAGGGATGAGAACGATGCAGAGAGCCCCGGCCATTTATCCCCAGTGAAGCACAGAGCTTTCTGGCTTGTGATCCCCTTTCTCCATAGCCTGTTACATGAACATTGATGGGCCTAAGATGCTTCTGCCCAGATGGCAGGTGTAACTGGGGGTTCGTCCGTGTGAGAAGGCCCTGCCAGATGTAGCAGCACCCATTCCTCACTGGCCTCTGAGCCAGATGAATCCCTAGGTACTAAGGGAACTGGTGTGATAGGCTCTGCTCCAGGGAGCCTACAGCCCAGTGGCTCAGGCAGTGCGTCCATGGTGGCTGACAGGTCAACCACAGCCAACGATGGAGCCCTTGGTTCTGTCTTTAGCAGGGTGTGGGCTTTACAGAGGAGTGGAAAGATGTACAGGGGCCTCAGCTATTCTTTAGTTTTGGATTCTTTTTCTTCAAAATCAAGAGAGTTGGAGAAGGTTATTCCTTGGAAGGTCTCGAGCTTCTCATGTACTTAGAATTCAGGAGAGGGAGGTCAGGGAAGGCTTCCTAGAGGAGGAGGCAGCTCAGGATTACTCTGGACCAGGACACTAGGGTGTTTCTGTGCAGTTCTTTGGCGATCAGATTTTTGAGGAGAGCCATTCAATAACTAACTTTTTGACTCACTGGAGTGAGTGAGGGGATGAAGAAACAGAGGACTCGCCTGTGTGTGTTCCTGCCGGTTCATCCAGCCCTCATCTCTTCACAAGGCCACTATAGTAGTCATCCCTTTCTAGTGTGAATGGAAGCCACAGCTCCATCAAAGTCCCTGGGGATGTCTGGCTTGTTCTGTTTATTCCAGAGAGGGCACCAGGCAGCAGGGACCAAGGCCATAGACAGGACTAAGCAGAGAAAGAGAAGAAAGAGCAGAAGGTAGTGTGTGTGTGTGGGGGGTGAGGCCAGGGGCATCATATGGTAAGATTCTGGAAGGGATCAGAGTAAGGTTCTTCTCCTACCACATGCTCCTGTTAGAACCAGACCAGGCCACCAGGGAAACCGTTGTTAATGCATGGACTCGCCTATGGACCCTGGCCGCTGTTTGCCAATACCACCATCAGCTCTGTGCGCTCCCCAGGTTTGGGCCTGTGAAGATTAACTTCCTGTGTACTTTGTCTTGTTCCCACTCAGAGAAATGTGTGGAGTTCCAGAAGCTGAACTTCAGCAACTACAGCCACGTATCGCTGCAGAATGCCACCTCCCCGGTCATGGAGTTCTGGGAGTAAGTGAAGGATCGGCTGGCCTTGTCCTCATCCCTGTCTCCCCATCTTCCCCCACCCTCAACTCCCTCCTGGAAAAGCCTAGCCCAGCTCCTTCCACTCCATGCTTCTTGGCTTCCGTGGCCGTCTGACTGCTGTAGAAACAAGCATGTGCAGGCCTTCTTCTGGAGTGTCCCCCTAGGAGCAGCTTCGAGGAATGCGTTCTGGTTCTTTGAGAACGTGTCGGCCAGCATGCCTAGTGCTTACTAGGGCGGGGAGGGATTGGTAAAAGGACAGTTTAAAAATTCATTCTGAGCATCGGAGAAGCCAGAGCATGCTTGCCGTAAGTGAAGCCAGGAGTATATTTAGCCTCAGAAAGCAGAAATCTCCGGAGGGTGAGGGTAGGGGCTAGCTTGTTTTCAGTACCTGAAGTCCTGTGTGAAAAAAGTAGATCTGCTTTAATGGGGAGAGAGGATGGAGAGGCAGTTTTCAAATATGTTTAAGAAGGATGTGAGACTGAAAGGACCCAGAAGGTTGTGAGCATCCCTTATCCCAGAAGCAGGCACGATTTTGCCTGCATCCTAAAGCGCTCGCAGGAATACCGTTTTGTAAGCTGTACACCGAATAACCCAGGGGGCACCATTCCGTGGGGCCCCGTGAAGTACACTGTGGAAGTGTACGGCGCACAGCCTGCAGAATGGATACAGTGGACCCCACTCCGGCCGTAGAAGAGTCCCTTGGCTCAGGTAGAGATAGGTGGCTTCTGTGAGCACTGAAGGCTGGACCGAACGTTCCCTGAGGTTTCTCGGTCCGCAGGTACCTGACTTCATCGACAAGGCCCCCCGCCCCCCTACTTTGTAGCTAATTAATAATGCTAACATCTGAGGGTGAATGGTGGGATTTCTGGGGGGCTTTAATTTGGTTTCCAGATACCATTTGCTGCTTTTCCTCTAGAAGTCTGGCTGAACGTTCTTTCAGTCTTTACATTTGTTCTGCTTACATGTGTCTGGAATAGAACAGACACATACTGTAAACGTTTCCAGGACTAGTCTCCAGTCCTTACATCTTTGCTCACCATGTTTCTTTTCTCAGTGGTGGTTTTAAGACGAGTCTCTATACACACTGTATGAATGGTTACTCTGTATTTACAAGTCCTCTTGGTAGGGTTAGGCTAGTGTTCACCCCCCACCCCCATTGTACTAGCTGAGCTTTCCTGAATGTTTCTAGTCTGTAAACCCATCTTAGTCTGTGTCATGCTCCTGTAACAAAATACCTAGGACTGGGTGAGTTAGAAAGAACAGAGGCTCTTTCCTATACTTGGACAGTTGGGGAAGTCTGGGGTGGAAAGACTGGTGCCTAGAGACAGTCAGCTCCTTCAGCATCATCCCATGGTGGGAGCAGAATGGCAAGAGAGAGACAGGGGGTCCAAATTCAGCTCATGGTAACAATTCAAACGAGTTTCCGAAAGTCACCCTTCAATGCTTCTGCACTGGGTTTCACTCTCCAACTCACACTGTAGACCACATCTAGGCCATGAGCAAGGGTGTAACTGCTGAGTTGTAGGCTATGTGTGTCATCCATTTTATCAGACAATGTAGAGATTGCTCTAACGTGTGTCCTAAATATCTGCTTGAAAGAATTTCTGCTACTCTGCTTTTTATTTCTTTCCTTCTTCTTTTTCTTTGTTTCTTTGTTTCATTTCTTTGTTTCTTTGTTTCTTTCTTTTCCCTCCCTCCCTCCCTTCCTTCCTTCCTTCCTTCCTTCCTTCCTTCCTTCCTTCCTTCCTTCCTTCCTTCCTTCCTTCCTTCCTTCCTTCCTTCCTTCCTTTTTCTTTTTGGTAAGATTATTTTATTTTGTGTGTGGGAGCTTTGTTATGTCTGTACACCACATGTATGCAGTGCCTGCAGAGGCCAGAAGAGGGCGTTAGATACCCTGAGGCTAGAGTTACAGACCATTTTGAGCTGCCACGTGGGTGCTGGGAATCAAACCCAGGTCATCTACAAGAGCAACCCATGTTCTTAACCGCAGGGCCATCTCTCCAGCCCGAAGCAAATATTCCACTTTCTGTGCAGCACTTGATTCGAGCAAGTGGTTTGTTTCTGTTTATTTCATTTTGTTTTCTCCAGACAGGGCCTTGCTGTGTAACCCTGGTTGGCCTGAAACTTGCTGTGTAGACAACACTGGCCTTGAACTTTCAGCAATCCCCCTATCTCTGCCTCTCAGGTGCTGGTATTAAAGGCCTTTGCTACCTCACTCGAGCCAGGTTTTATTTCTCCTGGGTAATGAGCGTGATATGGTATTTCACCATTTTAAACTTGCATTTCCCTGATTGCTGGGGAGGTAAGCATCTTTTTGTGATTTTGATGTGTTGTGAGAAAGACAGAGGCTCCCGTCTTTCTCAGGGTTGTGTTTTGTTTTGTTTTTTTCTGACAAACATTCTTTATACTTTTTATTTTTATTTTTTAGATAGGATTTTCTTTGCTGTAGGATCTTTTCTGAGTATGCAGCTTTTCTTTCTTATGGTGTACAGAATTTTCCATTTTACTGACATTGTATACACCAGTTTCTCCTTTGTGGCCAGTACGGTTGGCCTCTTATTTAGAATGGCTTCCCTCCCCAAAAGCTGTATGAACAATTTCTGTATTTTTTTCCTCAGGGTATTAAAGTTTCAGTGTTCTCACATTTAGGAATGCTATGTGTGTGGGAAATAAGGTGGAAACGCAGCTTTCGTTTTTATGCGAATGCTGCATTTCTCCAGCAGATTTGCAGTGTCTTCTTGGCTAGAGATGGTTTTTCTAAAACCATGGGTCTGTTTTGGCACTCCTTGCCCATCTAGTTGATCTTTGTGTCTCTGTATTGATGTCACCCCTGGGTTGTTATGACCCCCGTGACCTGGTCATGCTTTTGTTCATTTTCAAAATGATCTTAACTGTTCCAAGTGAATTTTAGAATCAGCTTGTTCAGCATGAGCGACAAGAAATAAATGAAAACAACTTTGTGGGAATTTGGGGTGGAAGTCTGTTGACCCGTTAGCTTAATTTGAAGAAAGTCACCTCCCTTGTATTGAACTTTCAGTCCTGAACATGATTCAACTGGCTCTTTATTTATTTGGGTCTTTTAAATGCCTTTCAAGTGTGGCCTTTGGAGCAGTTAGCATTGAAACCAATGGTATTTACATAGTCAATCACAATCTCAAACAGAGCCTCTGAAAGGTATTTGCTAGAGAGGCAGCTTCAGTTCTAGACAGGGCAGCCAGGTTTTTCTCAACCACACTGGGCTGGGGTTTCCGGGAAAAGGGTGCAGGGGCTCATGTTGAACAGAAACAATTAAAGGTATGTGAAAAAATATATACATACATATTTATTTGTTTGTTTATTTATTTATTTATGGAACCCAACCTGAAATAAGACATGCATTGTGTATGAGGCCCTGTGCATTTTCCCCACATTCCTTTTGTAACTTATGTATAAATCTTAAGTGTTTTTTTTTTAATTTTTCATTGTACTCTTACTCTTTTTTAAGGGTTTATATGCATGCCACAGTGTACTGTGGAGGTCAAGGGACAACTTTTGGGAATTGGTTCCCTCTGTCTGGGAGACTGAACTCAGTGGAGAACTGTCTTCAGGCTCAGTGACAGGTGCTGTAACCAACAGAGTCGCCTTGCCACCCACTTGCCAGCCCAAGTCACTGTCTGTGTAATGCATTTGCCCATAGCCTGTGCTTCTAAGCCAGTTTGACCACTGCCAGGCTTGGAAAGGATCTCAATGAGTACTGATAAAACGAGTAGGTGGAGGAGGAAGGCAGGCAGGCTGTACAGTAGAAAACCCTGCATGAGAAGGGACAAGGAGGTCCTGGCCAAAACCCATCTTCCCTGAGCTTCCCATCCATCAGCACCCATCATGCCCAGCAGCTTTTACTGCACGTCAGAACAGCAACCTCTTCTAGCTGCCTGCTCACTCCAGAAGAATGGCCCTGGGAGACATCATCTCTTCAATGTGTCTGTATTTTCTACGTGGTCCCAATTGCTGTGTGTTGACAGTACTTCCTTGGGTGCCTCTTGTTAGACCCTAACAACTCATCTTCCCAGAAGAGAGCTTGGAGCACAGAGACTGTGTGAGGCTTCACATCACTCTGTGAAGATCTGAGAAAAGCCAAGAAATAGCTGTGCCATTTGGTGGGATTATCCATGTATCTTTGATCAGCCCAGCTTCCCAATCATCTGATAGTCACTGGGATCATTTAGACTCTACTCTCCACAGTGTGCCCTTTACACCATGAACATCCCACCAAACCCACGCCAGAGAACTGCTTTGCTAGGCCGAAGCTCCTATTTGCTTTGAGCTGATACTTGATCCTGGGGCTTTGGGAAGGACTGTCTACCCCTGGGCAGTTTTTGGGTACTGGGTCAGTTTCCCCTAGAGCTTTCCCTTTACCATTCTTCCTGGGCTCTTTCTTTTGTGGCCTGTTCAGTTTCCCCACCTGTACTCAAGTCCCCAGTGTGTCTCTATTCTCCAAACCAGGGCCACCATGCTTGGTCAAAGTACAGGCTTTGGCTGCCTGCTGGTTTGTTCATTCGACAAATGTCTGCCTCTTGCTGTATGTAAGAGGGACACTGTATTTGAGGAAGGCAGAAATGCCAGATGTCAATCTCCTATATGCTAATATTAGGGTATCACTCTAATAGGTGAAACAAACCCACAGCTGACCCTAAAATCCATGATAAGTACCTGCTTCGCTGCCCACAGCTGGTCTGGCTTCACATTGCTGAGGGCACCCAGCCCAACCCATGTCAAACTGATTTTAAAATTTTCCTTTTCCTTTTCAGAATGTATTTTAAATGACTCACTCAGCCAACAAGACAAGCCAGGCCCTGCATCTGTCCTGGTTCTGACTCTGGCAGGGGCTTGTAGGGTGGGACAGCTTGTCTTTTGCATGTCACATTTCAAAATCGGGCCACAGTGGTTTCCCTTAGTAACCGTTATGCATCAAGTCCGTGTGCTTATCTAAATATGTCTTCGTTTCT